TGAGGGCCCTCCTTCAATACCTAGTGTTGCTTCTTTAATGAGTGAGCTAGGTAGTTCACACTTTGTCTCAGAGGCCTCTTGAACTGATTTTAAAAAGGACATTAAAGCCACATTGAAAATATTAATCCCCTAAACAATAACCCATTGCGAATTATGCTCAGGTATGCTGTATAACATATTAACGGCACAAAGTTAAGAAATGGTGGGCAAAATGGGTGAAGGTGGTCAAAATGAACAAACTTCCAGTTATAAAATAAATGTTATCGGTATGTAATGTACAGCACAGTGACTATAGTTAATAATACTGTATTTCATATTTGAAAGTTGCTAACAGAGTAGATCTTAAAAGTTCTCATCCCAAGAAAAGATATTTTATAACTACATATAAAGATACACTGTATGTAAACATGTATCAATAAATATGAAAGTATTATGTTGTACATCTGAAACATATAATGTTATATGTTTATTAAATACCTCAATAGAAAATGATTTTAAAAATAGAGACTTCATTTTGTTTTTCCTATCAAGTACTATGTGTAATGGTTGTCAAATAGGACCCTCATTCCCCTGGCTTCATATGTCCCAATGACTTCTTTACTTGGTGAGTTTGAGAGGAGTTGGGCATGTGAAAAACCCCTTGAGTTGTCTCTTGGATTTCTCTCTTTTAGGCAGAAGATGCAATGTAATTTATTCTCAAACCTAGAGTAAGCTTTGTGGGCCAGGGGCACCTGTCCCTGTCAGGGTGGCCTGCAGTTATTCAGCTCTGCCTATGACTGGGTGAAGTATAAGGAAGTCCTTGTGGCCTCATAGCTAAGCATGTCCTCCAATCCAGCTTTTATCAATTATAAAGGAAATATTTTGATCTCCATTTGTGTGATTATTGTGCCTGTCTCTCAAAAGGATACAAATTTGCAAAGAGAAAAAGGTTTTTATTCATTAGTCCTCTAACCTCATAACCAAAACATTATGTTGAACTGTGGCACAATTTCTGGAAGGGAAGATTACCATTACAGGTATGCCAGGATCTAACATTACTTCTCTAAGATAAATACAGGACATGGGTTATTAGGGGATGTATTGTCATCTCTAAGACAGGAAAGGAGACTTTTGGCATTCCAAAGTGCCACTTTGGAATGGTTTCCAGTAATGAACAGGGGAAAGCGTTGGGAGATTCTGACCATATCCCTTTAACAGTAATGCACGCATAAAACAAGGCTGATGGATGGTGTGATCCCATTGCTAAAAACTAATCACTAATACCATAGCCACCTCCATTTTAACTCACTTATACTCAGAAAGGACAATATCACTCGGGCTTGGGGAATGGAGAATGGGATGTGACACAGGCAATGTACTTTGAACAATTCTACATTACTATAGGCATCTGTGCCTAACCCAGACAAGGTACAAGTTCAAGGCCTGTCTGAATCCTGCGTCATTTGAACACTGAATAACATTAATTCCTGTAGGAACTGTTTTAAGTCCATGACAAATTCTATTTGGGGTACCTGTGCCCCTTACCATGATAGCATTTTTCAGTTTTCACCTGGTTCCAACAGAAGGGCTAGGGAAAATCCCAAGGCTGTGAAGCTGACAGTAAAAATTTCTACAGATTTTTTCAGTCAGATTCTCATTCTACAGTACATTTCATCAGCATTGTACACCCAATTTGAGGGAGTAACAGCCCAAGTGCTTGATCTGCTGTTTCCCTTGGGAGATTGTATGGCTCAAGGACATCTGGAAATCAGGTCCTGTCATTAACACCTCCTATATTTTTTCCCCACTGGATATGTTGATTAAAGACAAATCTTGCAGGCTACACATCAAAATAGCCAGATTGTGATGAATTCTCATCACACCCAGTGCAACCAGACTACTTTAAAGGACCATTATCTGTTACCTGGATTATTGCAATAGACCTGAATTGATCTCCCTTTTTCCATCCTTGACCTCCATACAGACTACTCTCCAGAGTTGGCAGTGTGATCCTGTTAAAATATGAGACCAATCCCGTCACACCTCTGCTGAAAATACTCGAATGGCTCCCCATCACACTCTGGGTAAAAGCCAAATTCCATTCTCTGACCTCCAAGGCTCTGACCTACCTGCCTCTCCTGGATCCCCATCACCTCTCTGAAATCACTTCCTGATATTCTCTACCTTGCTCACTCAGCTCCAGCCATGCTGGTATCCTCAGTGTTTCTCCAACATGCCAGCTCCACTCCTGCCTTGGGGCCTCAGCACTTGCTGTCCCTCTATCTGGAATGCTCTTTCCCTAGACAGCCACAGGGTTAGTTCTCTCATTGCCTTCAGCTCTTTACTCAAAAGCCATGTTCTCAGTGAGAAGGCCCTGGCCTCCCTATCTATCCAGTATCGGCCTGCTCTCTGGGAATTTCAATTTCCCATTCCTTGCTTTACTTGTTCCTTCTTAACACTTGTCATTTTGAAAATACTTTATATTACACTCATTTTATCTGGGCTATTGTCTGTCTCCCACACTAAAATGAAAGCTCCATAAGGGTAAGATTATTTGCTTCTTTTGTTAATTATCATATCATAAGTACCTGTGCCTAGAAGAAAGACTACCTGGCACAGAGCCTACCTGAAGAAAGCATGGGCAGGGAGTAGGGGGTGGGGGAATGGGGGCAGGTTGGGGGGATGAAGATAAAGCAAATTACATTAAAAAAGCAATGGGGTCAAAGTAAGCCAAGAGGGGGGCTAGGCAGTTTCCCTGGGTCTAGCCCCAAAGCTACAAAAGCAAATGCCTCCAGGGCACAACTTGGCATTTTATTAGAGTGAAGCAGGCCAGCTGGGGGTGTGGCCAACTTGAGAAAGCATTCAGAGTCTAAAATGGGGGCAGCCCTACCTCAGACCCAGCTGCCAGTGTCCTTGTTGGAATGTGGGTCCTAATCCTCAGTTTATTGTTTTTGTTTTTCGGGGTTTTTCCAGGTGAGCCAGAAATGTGGATTTTCGTAATGTGAAATCTCCCAAATGTCTAAGTAGCTACTTTAAAAACAGAAAACGATAAAAGCACAAAGATCAAACAAAACATGACCGCTGGCTGAAACTGGCTCATGGGTGGCCTGCAGGTACCTGTTAGATTAAATTGTGTGATGTATGAAAGTAAACTAATCCTTGCTATGGTGAGGTGGGCTTGCCTTGTGTAATTCTTGAGGCAAACAGCTTGAGGTCATGTTGGGTAGAGAGAATGAACTGGAATTACCACCTTCTTCCAACTCCTGAAAGCTCCCTGCCTCCCCCTCCCCCTGCTATGCATGGAGTTAGGGAAGCCTGGGCAGTGGGAAGTCACTAGGACTCTTTCTTTGAGGGCAAGGGTATATTTTAGTGAAGTGTAGGGTGGGGAAACCAGAGAGAGGGTTTTGAAGGGAACTTCCACAGCAGGACGGGGGAAAGGCAACGGGGATAGGAAGAGAAGGACGCAGACTTATGTCTGGACGCCCTATCTCTGAGGGAATTTATGGGGGTTATCGCACCCTCTCCCCACCAACCACCACCCCTCTGCGTGGCACTATACGGCCGAAGGAGTTAGTTATAAAGAGTCACAACTCCCAGCCCGACTGTCCCATGCCATCTATCTCACCTGGAAACAGAGGTGCACAAACTTCCATCACAGCTCCCTGTGTGCTTGGGGTGGGCAAGACTGGCCAGGAGGTACCTGTGAAGGGTGGTCAGTAGCCACCAGCTTTGTCAGGGTATAGCCAAGATGGGGCTTCTGGAGGCAGCAGACCTCCATTTGGTGGAGCGCTGGTGGAGCCACCTGTGGTTTCAGGCAGCTGCTGAGAGAGGCATGCACTGTCAAGTGCTCCCCATGCCCTGGAGAGAAACATCTCTGATGCCCCTCTTCTGTAGGGAAGAACAAGGTACAGTCCAGCAGGAGGAAGAACTGCGAGGGGACTGCTGTACCTGGGGTCAGCAAGCTTCCATTTTTCTGGATAAAATACTTTCCAAATGCAAGGTGGCACATCTCTTCAAGTCCTGAGTGCCCCACTGACCCATTCCCCCCAAGAATTGTTCATCCAGTGTAGGGGAAACGAACCAAGGCCTTCAGGTCCAAGATTTACTGCACTGGGTCTTCTGGGAAATGTGAGAAGGCGACCCACAGCCCTGTGCTTATGGGGTGCCATGTTAATGTGTTTAGGCTGAGGGTTGGGGTTCGGCTTGGCAGGTGTGGCGCAACTCCCCGAAATAAGAAAAGCCTTTCAGGTATAAACTTGGCTTCTGCTTAACTATGGAGTCATTCCTGTCACACCGCCCTTCTAGGGAACCACCAGTCCATCTGGCTTCTTGAAAGTTGCCACATCCTTTCCGCACAGAGCCAGGGAGGGCATCACGGATACTGCCAGAAGTTCAACTTTTTCCTGGGGCCTTCCTATCTCTCATGGGCCCCAGTCCCTATACCTCTTTTTCTGTATTCTCACTTCCTTTGTCAGCCTTTCTTCTTAGAATTCTTCCTTCCTCAGTGTCCCTCCCCTTCTGGCCCCTCACTCATGCATAGACCCTCCCTGTGAGTATCCTTTAGCTTCTCCCCAGATCCCTGCCAACTTTGTCTTTCTCCCCCTTGCTCTGGACCTCTTCTAAGCTTCCTTGTGTCCATCTCTACTCAATTTATTCTGTCTGTCTTCCTCTAAGCCCCAAGATCTCACTCTCCCTCTGTTATTCTTCAACCCCTCCCAGGTGGGTGCCTCCCTCTCTTAAGTCATCCCTCCCCCCAGGGATGGGGGTAGGGAGGGCCCCTCCCCACCTCTTCCTAAGCAGTCATCTCCCCTTCTCCCTTCCCCTACAGTCCATCTCTAGTTCCTTCTCCTCCCCCCTCCCTAGACCACAGCAGCTAAGTCCTCTTCCATTTTTAGATGACTGATTATGATACTCACTGAAATTATTCACAGCCTGAATTTACAGCTGTTCCTTCTCTTCATGCCCCATCCACCAAACGCACCCAAACTTTTCAACATGACAAAGTCCTGACACACAGCATGTCATGTCCACATACACTTGTATTTTTCAGAACAAAACAACAGTTAGGCTGGCAAAGATGCTGAATTAACAGGGACCCTTAAGCTTTCAGTACACTGAAAAGCAACATTATTTTGCATGTCTACAAAGTATACATTTGTTTCCACAAATGTGGCAAGGTTTACCCAAACAGTTAGGACTTTTTCACCAAATCATAGACATAGATATGGAAATCATCATCAAACTTGATGAAATACACGGAGGGTTTGGCTTCCACTTGGTGAATGACCATGCCGATCCGTTTGGAGCCATCTTCTTTGGTATACTCCACATGTTTACCTATCAGGCCATCTACAACTCCTCCTGGCTCCCTCTCTGCTGGAGGAGACTCACTGGACTCTGGCATGATACGGAGGTCTCCTTCTTTATAATCGTCTAGAAGCTGGTACATGTACAAGACAGGATCTTTCTCATAGGTAATATAAAACCAGGCTTTCATGATAGGTGCTTGGGCTAAGACCATCCCCCTCCATTCATCCTTAGAACCATGTTCACCCTCAAACATATGTTCCACAGCTTTACCAATTATGGTATTTGCAAGGTTTGCATCACTGACCTGAGATGATGCCACCCTGTCGGAAAGAATTTTAAGAGACAAAACTCTTTCATCTCTGTGAAGTTCCAGTCCATAGACACAGTCAATTCCATCATATTTCACCAGATAAAGAGAGGGATTTATAGGCACCTGATCCAGAACGGTTCCTTTCCACTGGGTGATGGGCTCATCGCCTTCCTTCCATCCGTGTGAAATTCTGCAGCCCACGATGTTCCTGCGGGGCTGGGACGAAGGTCTGCCCCTCTGCTTCTTTTGGGAGGCTTTTTTCTTCGTCATGTTTGCGGACCCAGTGGTCCGTCCCGCAGCTGCCCTGGGTTGTTGCCCTTCGGCCTCCTGTGCGTTGGGGGTCTTCATGCCTGCAGGAGGAGAGAAGATAAGAGAGAAACAGTCAATACGCCATAAGGTGAAGTTCTCCCGACAGCAACGTCTCTATGTACCCTGCCCAGGCGCCTAAATTTTCCCCGTGAGCCTCCAGCGATGCTGGAAATCCTGGCCGCATGCCTGCAAGTGCTCTCTCTCCCAGGTTCCTTTAGGCTGCAGGGAAGGGCGGCAGCGGCGGTGCTGCTGGCTGGGGTTAGGAACTCTGCAGGAGAGGGAGGGCTTCCTCCTCGTTCAGAGCCCACTGCCTCCACCACCCGCCACTGGTGCCCACTCTCAATCCCTTGCAAAGCGCTTATCCCGCCACTGCCTTGACCCGCACGCACTCACTGTCCTCTTGCCCTGAAGGCCCCAGCCTGCTGCCCACATGCCCCCGTCTACCCCCAATGGCTTTCCTGGCACCAGCGTCCTCGCTTCGCCGCGCTCACCTTCAATTTCTTGCCCGGCTCCTAACGCCATCCCCTTTTACTATTGCCCATCGCTCTCCTCCACCCCAGCCTCACCCAGCGCCCGCCTCCACCCCTTATCTCCTGCAGGAATCCATCCCATCCCCCTTCTCCATCCTGGCGCGCACCAATGGCCTTGCCCTGCCTGGCGTCCACCGCCCCAGATCGCGGGCCTCACGTGCCCAAATCGGACACCTTGTTGCTGCCTCTGCGGTGAGCCAGTGGCCAAAGAGGATCAGCAGGCGGCGAGCCGGGTGCTTGCAAGAGCTGGGAGGGGAGGATCCGTAGGCGAGGAGCGTGTCTAGGAGGGCGGCGGGGCAGGCGGAGAGGACGGCAGCAGCGGTGTCTCCTGCGCTGGGCTCGCGGGCCCTCCACCTCCCTGTCGGTGGCGGTGGCCCCTCTGCCACATCGGGCTCCCACCAGCCGCTGCTGCCGCCGCAGTCTCCTCCCTCTTTCCCTAAATAACTATGCTTTAATTTCCTCTTAGTAAAGAGGCCTCTTCTTCCTTCTAAACACTTCGCAGCCTGCCTTCCTTGCCCTGGAGGCACGCCTGCGCTGCTCCCCTTTTTCCAAAATTCAGATCTGTGGGACCTGTAATTGGTCATTTCCTCTTCCTGTGTTTCCCACCTCCGCCCTCTCAGGCTCTCTAGCTCCACCCCTCATCTCCCCTGCTAGAGTTGCTTTTTATTTTTCTGACTTTTCTCAAATTTTTTCTACACCTCAATTCACACAAAAATACCTTACAGGAAACTTGTATGAATACAGAATTCCTTTATATTCGTACACAAATATGCGCATATATATGTACATTTCTCTGTATATTTTCAGATATTCATATCCACAGATATATAATCCCAAATACACACCTCTTCCCAGTCACATAACACACAGACATAATTCTCCATATAAACATACACAGAACTTCATTTAACAAGACTTTCTCCGAAACAAATGTAGGCATCTTTTTGATTTGGAGACCTACCTTTGGAGTAACAGTAGCTGATTTTAATCTAGGAATGTTTTTCGTGAATGTGCTTGCAGTTTGCAACAACCTTTATCTATTTTTGCATTAAGTGGCGTCCATTTTGAATCGTTTGTATCCTTTTTTGTTATTTAGATATTTTCCACAATATCTCATAATTCTTTAAAATATCAATATTATTATGGTGCTATATTAGGTAGGATGTTTTCAGTTACATGCAGAAAGAAAGCAATCTTGAGCAGATTTATAATAAAAGGAATTTATTGACTAGTTATCTTAAAAATCTAATAGGTGTCAGATTAGGCTTAATACAGGTGCTCAGTGTTATGGGCTGAATCATGTCCCCTCCATACTCATGTGTTCTGGCCCCCAGTACCTCAGAATTTGAAAGTGTTTGTAGGTAAGGCCTTTAAAGAGGTAATTAAGGTAAAATGGGGTCACATGGGTGGGCCTAAATCCAGTATAATTGATGTCCTTATGAGAAGAGTAGATTAGAGCACAGACATACGTAGAAGAAAGACTATGTGAAAATAGAGGAAGAAGAGGGCCATCTACAAGCCAAGGAGTGAGGCTTCAGAAAAAATCAACCCTTCCAACACTTTGATCTTGGACATGCAGCCTCCAGAATTGTGAGAAACTAAATTTGTGTTGTTTAATCCTCTGAGTCTGTGGTACATTTTTATGGCAGCCCCAACAAATAATACACTCAGCGATGTCACCAAAAGCCTAGTTTTGTTCTGTCTTCTGTTTTTTTCTATGATGTCAGTTTCATCCTGAAGCTTATGTTACAATATGGCTATCAGCAACTTTGGGATATATGTGCTTCCTTATTCATATACAGTGACAGTGAGAACCTTTTTACAGCAACTTATGATCACTGATTGGGACCATCATAAGTCATTTGTCTGCCTTTGGAATATGCCAAAGGTAATGCTATAACCACTTATCTTAGGTCTGATTTATACGCTTATTTCAGAAACAATCACATTAACAAAATGGATCCACTTTGTGGAATAATTGGCTTCTGGCTAATCAGGTGCCTCCCCTGTAGGTGGAGGTGGGGTGAATCCCACCAAAATGACGTGGGTACTACACAATCAAAGAGGACTGAAATGCGTAACGGAGACTTAATGAGCAATGTTCACAGCAATTCTAGTTATTTTGAAGGACAATCTAAAAGCTTCTATTATTCTTCTAAAATGTGTGTTTCTCTGATACTATTTCTGGATATGCCACTGCCAATTAATTGCATATTTGTTTGTATTTCTTTGACTAGCTTATAACAATTTACCTCCTTTCAAAATATTTATTTCTATAGTCTTTTAACCTGTTGGTATATTTATATCATTTCTTGTGACATCCTCTGTTTTTTGGGTTTATTTATGAAAATCTTTCAGAGAGAATTGGACCAGCACCCTTTACAGTTATCCTTCCATATTCATGATTTGGAATTGTCTGACTCCATAATGGTAAGCAGTAGGGTTAGATAACTACATTAAATGTTCTGGAACATCAAAGCTCACATTGTAGTCATAAACCAACACAAATATCTTCTCCTGAAACATAGCTTGCTGACCTCCTTTTGTTGAGGGCTCTGTCTTCAAAGGGAATCTGGACTAACTAGCGAGTCCTAACCTATGTACTTTCTTAGGAATTAAGATGATGCAGGAAGAATTTGATAATAGGCCCATGGGGTACCTGTAGGAAGGACTTCAATGTTATCTTAGAAAGAATTTCTCCCAGTACCACCTACACCTAGAAACTATGCAGTGTGCAGGAATGGCCCCTTGAATACTGACCGCTGAGGGACTACTTTTCCCAACAGTTTTCACTTATCCTTCCTTGTGCCTTCTCTAACCTACAAAGGTTTTAAGGCCAGATATATTTCTCAGATGCTATTTTCTCATTTGTCTTGGCCTTATTTATCCTTTTCTCAAAGTGACCCCCACATCTTGCCATTTGCCTTTGAGATCCCATTGCCTGCAAGTTTCAGCCTTCCTGTCCTCTTTAAAACAGCTATTACAACTCATATTCACCCAGAAATCCTCAGAACTCCACAGCACTTTCTTTATTTTCCATGTGTTAAGTAGATCATACATCTATTAAGAAATTCTAGTGCAGTTCCTCCAACTGAGCATGTATATGTAATGGCATTGCATGGAGCTGTGGTACAAACTCAATCTCAAAGAAAACAAGCACCATTCCACATCCATGTTTTTTGGCTACTGGACAGCACTCTACTTCTAAAGCACAAGCTATTAGAGGACACAGTTACAGTGATCTTTAAGACAAAAGGAAGGTTGTTGATGCCCATGAGTATCTTTCCCATTGCCTTGTGATAACATTTTGAGTTTCTCACTTTACTTGGTTTACTGCACTGGGGAATAAGGGCAACTCCTCACCATGACTGACACCCAATGGAGTTATCTATCTGAAGACTGACTTGAGCTGAGATTACTTGCCTGGGTATGACAATTGTGCAACCTGTTCAGAAGTCCCATTGGAAGAATGTATAGCCAGTTGTGTTTTTGTGGACTTTCTCATCATGTGTTCAATTCCTTACAAGCTAGTTCTCTCCATGAAGCTGTGATAGGAAGGTACTATCCAACACAGTATCAAAGTCCTTTTTATTTATACATGTGGCAGACATTACACAGATGTCTAATACCCCAGCTTTTTTTGGAGTGAATCACTCACTGTCTAGAAGTCACAGAGTCATGGGAATGGGGGCATTCTAGAGCTGTGCTTTACATACATCTCTACTTTTAAGCTGTGAAAAAAAGGCTGGGTGTTTCTGACCATATTCGTTTAACTGTAATGCATGAAAACACGAGGGCAGATTGGCCCCATTATTCCAGCTGTATATATTACCTTTTCTTCCATCCTAACTCATGTTGAACCATCCCAGTAAGTTGTGCTATGAACTGAATTATCCCCCCCCCCCACCAAATTCATGTGTTGAGGCCCTAAGTTCAAATGTGATGATATTTTGGGATGGGGTCTATAGGAATTAATAGGGGTTAGATGAAGTCATGAGGGTGAGGACCTCATGATAGGATTAGTACCCATACAAGAAGAGGAAAAGACACCAGAGCTCCATCTCTACCATGTAAAGATATAGCAAGAAGGCGACCACCTGCAAGCCAAGGAGAGAGCTCTTTCCAGGAACTAAATTGGCTGGCATCTTGGTCTTTGACTTCCAGCCTCTAGAGTTGTAAGAAATAAATTTCTATTGTTTAAGTCACCTAGTCTATGGTATTTTGTTATGGCAGCCTGAGCAGACTAATATAGGTTGAAACCTTGGCATTGAGCCTTGAGGAAGTCTCCCCCAAGATCAGCACCTACCCCTTTCCCAGTTATACACGTCTGTCCTGAATCTTACCTTCTTTAAAACAGCCAATTTATTTAAATAATGCACTAACTGTTGTAACTCCTTGCTAAACTCACAATTGTACTGGACTCCTACTGTTGGAAGTAGTGGAAGTGGGAGTCTCAGCATGTTAAAACCTTATTTCCCCTCAGTTGCAGGCTATCCCTTGATCTCTATGGAGAGAGAGAACCCAATTGTCTTTGATTTCTGTTTTCTTAGCAGAGAAGGGCGTTAGCCCAATGAGAATCTAAGCATTGCAGTTTATCCTTAGAAGTCTAAATGATTCATTCTACCATGCCCAAGAGTTTGGGAAGGTGAGCTTTTTGTAACTACGCTCCAATTCTTGGGATGCTTCACAGTTGAACTCAGGGCTTCAGGGCTTCTGGATTTTCCAGCAGAAAAAAAAGACGTTTCTTCTGGTTATTGTATAGAGGTAGGGGCATTCACCTACTTTGGGAGACAAACTTTGGCCGAGTAAAACCAAATTCTCAGAGGAATAAACTAAGAAGTATTTGGCAACAGGCCAGAGTTGGCCTCGTGTATTTATATCCTTAGACTTTGAAGGAGCTCCTGGGGAGGGGTCCAAGATATCGATCACAACTTCAGCCAGAGGAGGATCCCCACAGGCTTTGGACCCATGAATCCATCTCAACAGATTTTGTCTGTGGTCTCAGAGAATCTACAGGAAAATGATGAGGGCATATCCAATCAACTTTTAAAGGTGCCCACTGCATCTAGCCTTTTCTACAAGTATTGTTAGTCAGCAGCAAGTAGGTAAAGGAGATTGAGGGCTATACAGATAGAATTTCAAAGAACTAGAAAAGTTTTTATTCTTCCTTGGTATTCTGAAGCCACTGGAAAATCTCTTTAAGGGTCACTTTTCCCCTAGATAAAATCTTTGTAATTTCCTCTAGTCCTTATATTCTAGGAGGTCATTTTATTTGGCCTGTTAATTGTAGAGCAAATTGTCTAAAATAAGCTAAATTATTAATTGACAGGTATGCAGGAGTAATGAGTTTAAATGATTGTTAGAAAAGATTTCATTGAGCTGATGCGATAGTAACTGCTTTTATTGGGATTTATGATTAAAATATGCCCTTATACAATACATGTCTACATTGGGATCCTGGTTGAAACTGAAAAAATAATCATAAAATAAGAAATAATTGCTTAAAGTAGTTTAAATTAATTGCTGAAATA